TAATCTGATACTTGAGAGCTCAGCTCCTGTATGACTTACCTTCTTATTCCATGACCAAAGGCAGGATGGCCAGTGAAAAGGAGATGTAAACCATCTTGCAGTTTCAAATATTTGGGGGCAGGGGGACAATGACTTTCTGTGCTTTTATAACTTTTCTAAGATGTAAGAAGTTACTCTAAGAGCCAGACTAAGCTCTTAGAAATGCTGATGCAAACTCAGAATAACTCCATTTCAGTTCACTAAGTGCAACTGATATTCGTGCAGGGGCAACAGAGCAGAATCAGCCTGTGTGTTTGTAGGAGCAACACTGAGTTATTTATGAAACTTCCATGTGGAGTTTGCTGCCTTTCATTAGTGTTTTGAAAGATTTTGCGGCTGCCACTGACATTTAGTGAACATTTCCTTTGTATCTAAGGAGATCACTTGGCAAATTAGTACAGCTCCATGAATTCCTTTGATGAATCATAATTATTTATACAGGTCCTAATTCTGCAATACATTTAAGCACATTTATTTGCATGCTGAGTTCGACTCTCTTCAGCAGAGCACTGGAGATTATATTTCTAATGTCCATAAATCCCATGAATCGATGTTTTGCTGAATTGTGCAGTTATAGCAGGAAGCAGGTAGAAAAATAAAATAACAGTTCCCTATTCTGGAAATGCCTGCCATCCAGGTACAGGGAAATAAGAACAAGTTGTAGGATAAAGCAGAAGATTGCAGCATGTATCTATAAGGGTTTCTGTGTCAAGCATGCTGCCACATGTGCACTGTCTTTCCATGGGGGTGCAGTGGTGCTACCTGGCATGCAGTTGGCTGAGGTCGAAGCCCATGCACATGTGCACAGCCCTCTGTGCGCCGTGTGTCTGTCCAGTGACAACCCTGTCTTTGCAGTGCCTACATAGACAAAGCGAGTGACACAGCTGAGCAGGTGATTTTGATAGACAGCCAGCTGAACTCTCCTGAAGGACTGGCAATAGACTGGGTTCATAAGAATATCTACTGGACGGATTCTGGAAACAAGACCATCTCAGTGGCCACTGCAGATGGGAGCCGGAGGAGGACGCTTTTCAACAGTGACCTCAGTGAGCCAAGAGCCATTGCTGTTGATCCCACACAGAGGTAGGTGTAAAGACCACAAACACCTCCTTCGCCAACAGAGACATTCCAGTCTTCTTTCTCCCTCTTACAAACTTGTGAGCGGTTCTCATCTCATCAAGACTTCAGATGCCCTTTAGGATAGATAGAGCCATTGAACTTAAATGGGACTGCTGAGAAGGTTCAACCAACTCTTTGCAAGGCCACTGCTGTTAAAACTTAAGAAAGTTCTGAAAATAACGGTCAGGTCATGTGTTGTTTGGGCCTAAGCTGGGCCAGGCACATAAGTTGTGCTGGGAAATTAAGTAGTCTGTCTGACATGTTTGTGGGATACTTGGATAAGTGAAGTCCACATACCTGGCAGACACACCAGGAGATAGTTTGCATGGGGTTATTAAGGTGAGATTTTGCTTTCTAGTGCAAGTTTTGTGGCAGAATACCCTGTGGGACAGTATGTGGCCCCACTAGGTCCATATCAGAGTTAAACTGAAGTGGCTGAGGGGCTGCATAACAGGAACGCCTCCTACTCCAATTAGTAATGCAGATTTCTTATGCTAGAGTCCAATTTACAGTTTTCTTTGCATCTGTCTCTTTCAGGTTCATGTACTGGTCTGACTGGGGAGACAAAGCTAAGATCGAGAAAGCTGGCCTGAATGGTGTGGGGCGGCAAGTGCTGGTGGCTGACAACATTGAGTGGCCAAATGGCATCACACTTGGTAAGTGCCCAGGCTAGAGCTACAGCATCCACTGTGGCTGACATACATTTATTTTTATTGTTAAATAGGAAAACAAAACTGTAAATGCGCAAAGGCACCTGCACACAAAAATCCTGGAAATACTCGTCACTTACGTCTCATCAACACGAGCGTTTTTATTTCAGTAGCAAGCATAGGCAGCAAGTCTTGCCACAGTCAGAACCTCATACTGCAGGAGCTTTGAGGTGCTCTTAGGTGTGCCTTAAGGCAAAGGGAAGTTTTTGGGGAGGGTGCAGAGCTGCATCCAGAGCATGCAGGAAGCATCAGAGAGTCCTTGCTGTTAGCAACTCTGGACCTGGACCTGCAAGATCAGCCACTGGACTGATCAATGCACAGTACATCAAGGAAAGAGATGCAGCCTGCAGACCCCATTCCCCATCAATATGCCTGCGCAGCCGCTCTGGGTAGTGGTAGTGAGATGGAACCCATCTTGGCTCATATCTTGCATCCTGCCGGCCCACACAGGGCTGTGGTCGTTCTTGCTGCCACACCAAGCTGCAGGAGTGGAAAGGAGGTTTCCTGTGCTCATGGGGCAGCAGGGGACACCCTCCTCTGGAGTTGCAGCCATATATGCTTAATGCCATATGGATGTGAGGTTCTCTGCTTGGTTTTATATTTGAAAATTCTGGCCACGACAAGGATGTAGGAGAAAATGCTGCTACCAATGCATATTGTTGCAGTGCTACTGCTGTGAACAAATAATGTTATTCTTTAGTAATTAAGAAATAAATTAATGATTTGTTTTATTACAGAACTTGTTTTGTGTTGGCACTCATCCACTTGCATTCTGTTTATCTCATCCAAAATGAGTGAATTTGCTCCAGGAAGAGAAATTCAGTGCTTAGCATTCTAAGTAACACTGGATCCTTCCCTCCCACTTTTACCTGCACCCTCCCCAAAACCTGGCTGGTTGTGGTAGGAGTGTCCCCACCACCAGTGTTCCCCCAGCCTGCAGCACAAAAAGGGTTTCTGGACCCAGGATTCTTCTTCACTAGAAATGTGTAAATCGCACAGCTCCTTCAGAGATGTGTTTCATTTGAATCACAGTTTTTGCTCTCCAACAAGAGACCAAGGACTAAATAGCCTTGAGATGAATGAAGCTTCTCCCTCAGGCACTGATGGGGTGACTCTGGGAAGCCCAAGCTGCTGCTGGCTTGCTCCTCCTGGTAACAAAAGATCTTCATTGTACAAAGCTGTCAGTCAGGCATTCCACACACACACACACACACACCCTCTCCAGAATGTTCCTCCTTTTTAATCTTATTTATAGGGTCTTATCCCAGCATATCTGGGCACTGATTCAAAATCAGAACTAGTGTTAAAAAAAAAAAGAAAGGCCCAATAATAAAGAGATTAGTCATGCTGCCAGCAGGAAAAACATGCTGGGCAAGAGAAAAAGAGTTGCAGGAGTTGTGTGTAATTTTGGTGCATTGTGTTTCACTTCTCAGATTTGCTGAATCAGCGTCTCTACTGGGTAGACTCCAAATTGCATTCACTGTCCTGCATTGATTTCAATGGCAGCAACAGAAAAGTTCTGATCTCTTCTGTTGACGATCTGAGCCATCCTTTTGGCTTAGCAGTGTTTGAGGTAAGAGTCGAAAACGGATGCAGAACAGACTGGAGACTGCAAGAAGTCTCAGAGCTCTTCTTGATTAAAAGCTCTGCCTTTTGCATAGCACGGAAAGCTCAGCGAGGGCGTTCGCTGCTATAGAAACAGATTAACCTGGTGTGGTTCAGTGGGGAAAATAGCTTTCTAAAGCCCTTAATCAGGAGCAATGCATTGTCTCATGCTTTTACCTAATGTAGGACCAGTGCATCCGTGAGGGGCTGGTGGTGCCCAGCGTAAGCCTTCCCACAGAATTGGAGAAGGGGTAAGGGGTTTTCCTTGATTTGAATTGAGACAACTGTCCACACAAAGGCCGAAACTATTAGCAAGGGAAGGGAGAAGCCACTTATTGTGATCAGCAGGTGGGACAACCATTCACCGAGTGACACTGCAAAATGTCTTGTCTTTTGAAAGCCAGACTTTGTGGGCTCCGAGCGGCCTCTCAGCCCCCAGTGGAGCACTCTGCTGCTCTCAGCAGCTTTGTTTCACACCATCTTTGCATACCTGTGTTGCATTTTCTGGTGCCAACAGAACCCTCGAGGGAGGACGGCCCCTTAAATTTTGCTGCATTGGCTAGTTGTTTCTGTTGTCTATCCCAGCACCTGCAGAAGTATCCTCAGAAACGTTTTCACCTGTCTCGGGAGTCTCACGGCTTCAGCCCGGAGTGTCTGTGCCAGCAAGACGCTGGCAGGGCTCCCCCTGCAGTCAACGTGCACCAGTGCATTGCTGAGGTTGGGGACTTCACATTAAAATGGTGCTTGTTCACCTAGTTCTGAAAGGGCCAGGTAATTCTGTTTCAGGCTGAACTGCTCCAGTTATGACACAAAAACCCTGCTACACATCAAAGAAACTTCCCTGTTGCCAAAATTATAGCTCTGTCCTACAAAGACATAAGCCTCTTTTCACAAAGGCTTCTGACTCCTACTTGAGTATGTTCCACTGAAAACCCAATTAGTCTTGTAGATTCAGTACTCTTGTACTATTCAGTGTCACACTGCAGCCTTACTAAAAGCAGTGCAGTAATTAATTAAATAGTACAGTTCAGACCCTCAAATGTCATCAGGAAAAAACTAAGACCTGCTGAGATCTGCAGAAATTCCTACATAAATGGGCATCCACATTTCTGCCATTAGTTTATACACAGTTACCCAGTGGCAGGGCCCATGCCCAACAGCTTCTTTGCAGTTTGTATCTCCTGCTTAAGATCTAAAGCATGTGTTCAGAACTGTGTTCCCCATCCTATCTCAGGAGTACTCCAGACGTATGGAAGACATAACTCCCTGCTTTGCCTGGGTGGAAGCAGAGAGATAATCCAGCTCTTCCACTCTCCCTCCCCTGTTAGAGGATTGCCAGGTATCACTAGCCTGGGGCAGTGAAGTCTCTCTGGTAGCTAAGGTTCTTCCTGTGACCATTTAAATGAATATGAGAAGAAAAGCTTCAACTTTGGCACCTCACTCTAGGTAAGCTATAGCAGAGAAAGGTGTCTGGTTGGCTCCCTGTCAAGGCATGTGCCAGCCTCCTTTCTTTTCTCTTCATTTCACTTAACTAGGTTGGCTTTTGACTCCAAAACCCTCTTCCTTAAAACCCTTATTCCTCCTGTGTAATGTGCGTGATATCCAGGCATCTAACTTTGGGCACAGGTTTCCCCAAGACATTGCTGCTCTTGAGTTTTATTCTCATCAGCAGTGTTCAGAAGGATCTCTTGGGTTATTTAACCTCTGTACACCCTTCCTCATCTGAATGGCTGGTTAGACAAACAGACAACCCTTTTGCTTTTGAGAATTCGCCCTTGTTTTCCAGCAATGTGGCTTTCCTTACTGAAGTACGTGTGGTTTTTAGCAGGCAGCAGCATACGTAGCTGACCAAGCAGCTAAATACTGTTTGATATCTGCAATTCCGGTGTACCTCATTGACCAGTTATTTTGCATCTTCAATCACAGTATGCCATGCAAGAAATATTAATAAAAAAGAGAAATAGATACTCATCTTCCAGGTGTGCTCTAGGCACCGGCCTCTTCATAGATACCTGTTTAATGCAAGTCTTGTATTAGAAAGGAGAAAAAAAACCATCAGAGATAACAGAAGATTCTAGTATGGCCCTTTGGTGCTGCTCGTGATCCACCGCATCTTTTTTTTTTTTTTTTTTTTAAAGGTTCAGAAACAGAATGGCTGCAGCTTTTCTGTACTTAACCAAATTTCTGCTCTTTTATCTCAGTCTCATAGCTACTCAGCATTACTAAGCACTTTACAAGCAGGTAGGATTGCTGTGCTTTTGAACATTAGAAAGGACAGTGTCCAAAAAAGAAAAAAGCTGCAGATAGAAGTAGGATGGACTAAAAGTGCCCCAAGGTAGGAACACAGTGCACTAACTTTGTGACTACCGGAGTTTTATCCAGTTTGAGTTGGATTTGAGCAGGGCTGGGTCAGAAATCGTATATGTTTCCTGCAGGACAAAGTGTTCTGGACTGACCTGGAGAATGAAGCAATCTTCAGTGCAAACAGACTGAATGGCTTGGACATCTCCGTTTTGGCAGAAAATCTCAATAATCCTCATGACATAGTGGTATTTCATGAATTAAAGCAGCCCAAAGGTAAGACACATCCTCAGGGTATCACGGCCCTAAATCAGATTTATTTGAGCTAGTAAATGAAATGCTTCCTGATGGTTCTTGATGAGAACAAAAGCACAGGTAATAATGTGAAGTCAATTGCTAATGTTTGAAGTTCCTGCACAATTAATTTAGCAGCCGCATTTATTGAAAGGTCTGCAATTTGTTAATAGCTGTTTAATTAGCGTGTTTGGTAACAGTGAGTTACTCTTGTTACTGTGATGCTTGCCATTCATTATATATTTGGGCAGTTTTTATAGTAGTGTGTAAGGTTTCACTCTACTCTGAACTGTAGAGATGCTTAAGCAGCCCAACTGAGGTAGGGAGTGGAAGAGTCTTCTCAAAGGACCTGGTATTTCTTTGCCAAGAACAAGAAATAATTAGAAAAATAACTTGTCTTTTCTTCCATCCTTGAACAGCTCCAGACTCCTGTGAGCTCAGCCTCCAACCAAATGGAGGCTGTGAGTATTTGTGTCTTCCTGCACCTCAGATCTCTCCCCATTCTCCCAAGTATACATGTGCCTGTCCTGACAATATGTGGCTGGGTTCCGACATGAAAAAATGCTACAAAGGTAAATACAGTCACATCACTGTTTTGCTATTCCAACAAAATCATATTTACAGTGAATGTGTTTCCTGATGGTGGAACACAAACACTAGCTTTAACATTCCGCTACTTGCTGCCTTCTGAACACAGCATTATGGTGTCCTTTATTGAAAGCTTGTGTATTTTTGAAAGCACAACCAGAAAAAGATACAGCAGGAAGAGGAAAGAAGGGATAAGGCCCAGCACTAAAAGTGTGAATGGTCAATAAATCATTAAAATTTGCCACGTTATTGCCTTATAGATACTGGATCTGGAGAGGCCACAGTCACTGCTGGTAATATCCTGAAGAGACGAGTAGTTTCAATGTAGTTTTCCCGTAATATGCAAATAGTTCCTGAGGTACTGAAAAACCCGCAAGTTTCTGAACTTCTTAACTACCTTCCATCCAGAATGCTTTATTAGTATTAATAAATTAAGCTTGACTTAAGGAAATAATTTCTGTAGCTTTAGGCAGAACTATCAATAGTCTATCTGGTAAATAGAATTGGAATCCAGTTTATGCTTCTAATCAGTAAACATAATCCTTCCCCAGCTTTGTATCACCGTTTGTGATTTGCTTTGTGTACTTACTTTAACCAAATTTCATTGTTGCTTTTCAGATCTTCCAACTGCTTCAACTACTGTACTGGTTTCTACAACCGCAGCATCCCAAACTGCCGGTACCACGACCATCGCAACTGTACTTGGCAGTGCCAATAACACCACTGAAGTCGTCCCCAAAGCTGTATCAGAAGCTACGATTACCACCCCAAGATTTCATTTACATTCCACCACATCCATTCTGATAGATTCTGAGATGACCACGGGAAACAGCAACTTATCACAGCACTGTAAGAGAATGATATTCCTCTTTTCTTTCTCTATGTATATGGTATCACAAAAACTCAAGCACTGTTTGAGTGAGAGAGAGACCTGACCTAACATCTGAGTTACAAACAGGTCAGATGCAGGCGCATCCTGTTGTATAGCGGGAGACATTGGGTCCCCTCTCTGCAGACATCTGTGTTACGATGGCCGATGTGATTCTAGTTGCTTGGGACGTTGAGGAACTTACATCAGGTTTTCATCCAACAGACATGAAACAAACTCTAGAGATGAGGCCCTGCGAGTTCACACTAGTCCTTGCCTTGTGCCTAATGCTAGTTCATCCCAGCTTCAGTGCTGTTTGTAGTGCTGCATACCATAATAAGGATAATTCTACAGGCGCTTCACCTGTTTTAATTGTTTAATTTTTAACGTGATGTAGCACAAGCTGTGGGTCAAAAATGCCTCCTGTCCAGCTTTAGCCCTGCTGGACATTTGCACTTACTACTATAGCCCAAGACAAGCTGCTTCTGCTTTGCATGGCTGTTCTTTGCATATTAAGTGTGGCCTGATCCATGATATACATTGGAAGGTTTGCATTACATATGAGAAAAGTATCCCACTGGAGAGCACTAAGAGACTTTCCTCAAATTCACCCTACATAATGAGTGTGTAATGAAACTCCAACCTACCATCTCAGTGCTAACAGGTAATCCCTCTAGATCGTGCTGCCAAGGTAAAGCAGAAAAGCTGAACTGCTTTTAAAAAAAAAAACAACCACACAAACTCTAGTGCAGAGAGAAGACTTTATTCCTCGGGACTGTCATTCAAGACCTCAAACAGATCTAGATTGCTCTAAAAACAGTAAAATACTTTCTTCCCCTAAATGTTTCACTGAGCAGAATAGGCAGTTCCCATTGCTCTAGAAAGCAGAATAAACTACCCCTGTTTGACTGGGGTGCCTGTTTGTAGGAATAGTGATGCAGCGCACTCTGTACTACATGTGGGAAAGCAGAATCCAATTTTTAAAATACATTCTTGTAAGTTCTTTTTGTGCAAATTTCTTCCCAATGCAGCAGTTAACATTTTAATAAGCCATGGAGGCAAGGTGCTTTAATTGTCCACATTTGAAATAGTCTGGCTTATTATTAAGTAAATAACTATGTAATAGAACAGCCTGCCACAGGGGAGTATTTAAAAGGATAAATGGTCTTTTAAATGCCATGAATTGTCTATCAAAAGACAAACTACAGTTAGTTCCTCCTCTCTCAGTTACTGGTATTTTAGCAAAAATAAATTTTCTATGCTGATCCCTATTATAAGAGCTCAGATCAAACATTTTTAAGTATATAACTTGAAAAGTGTATTATTTGTTTTAATTATTTTTCCCCATAATTGTGTTTTTCTCCAAGTAGAATATTGAGTTTTGGGGTCATTCTTGTATGCTGAGGCAGGCATATCACAGCAATGCAGTGATACATGTGTCTGACTAACTCCTTAGCTGTAAATAAAAACAAAAATAATTAAAAAGAAAAGCTGTGCAGATGGCTTTGAACTACATTATTTTTCTGACAGCTCAATAAATCATTAATTGTGTCAGTACCAGAAAGTGTTCTACTGTGGATTTTTAAGAGCACTATTCAGCATCCCCTGATCTATGCATGGAGTTTCCATTAAATGTCATGGTTTTTAAAACTGGCCTCCTTTGTGCTTGAAAATTAGAGGCCGAAGTACAGTCACTTATTTCTGGTTAGAGCTTCTCTATCCGATCGTGCTGTACTCGGCTCTTTCCTTAACAAGCTGCACTCTCCTGGTGTGTAGTTTGCAATCCTGTGAGGACAGCAGCACTTTATGGCCAGGCTGTTTATCAGCTGAAGAAACAGCTCAGCCCAGCCCAGATTTGTGTGTGTATGTGTTTTATCTTCTCCATAATAATTTTATTACAAAACTTTTCATAAACTCGTTGATTACAAAAGCTTTCTGATGGGCAGAACAACATGGTTACTAACATAAAACATTCTTTAGATATGGCTTTAAAACCAGCAATTAGTTAAATGATCAGAACAACTTCTATAATTACAGATGCAAATAATGACCAAGGCTTTGATTCAACTGTGACGGCAGCTGTAATTGGAATCGTCATTCCTGTCGGTGAGCTGATTTGATTTAACCTTTGAAGGAGATCATTCCAAAACACTAGTGTAAATACACTCTTCCGATTTTTGGAAAGAGTACACGAACTGCAGAAATGGGGAAAAGTAGCCTGGCTTTGAGAAAATTGTACAAGGATGGATATCTACATGGGAAGATCCCAGCAGATTCATGCCTGCTCACAGCCCTTTCTTTGCCCTTTCTTCAGTGGTCATTGGCTTGCTATGCATGGGGGGATACCTCATCTGGAGGAACTGGAAACGGAAGAATACTAAAAGCATGAATTTTGATAATCCAGTGTATAGGAAGACAACAGAGGAGGAAGATGAAGACGAAATCCACATTGGGCGAACTGCCCAAATTGGACATGTCTACCCAGCAGTAAGTATTTGAGGAAACTGCTGATGGAGAAGATTGATTTTGCTGACAGTTTAGATATAGAATTACCTCTAGCCACTTACAGTGTTGGTTATTTGCCATATAATGACAAAAAACAGAAATTCTTTAATAATAATTGAATAGGCAGAAGCTCATGCAATTGTCTTAGAATATACTGGTCTATATAGTAAGATATTCTGTTCAAATGGGGAACAATTGTCCCAATCAATATATGTAGTAAGCTGGCAAGTGTAAAGCTACCTATCTCAAAACCTCAATATGTGACAGCTGATTACTTATCATCTGCTGGATTGCATTATATCTGTGCTTAGACTGCCACCAAATGTCTAAACTATCTTAAGTTTCTCTACAAACCAGGGAGAATATTTTCTCCATAATATAACAGTGTAAGGGAGGAGTGAATGAGGTTCTGTAAGAAATTAAGGAAATCTGCCTTGGCAAGATTAAGCTTTTCAAAGAGCAAACACTCATTTTGATAGTAAGTCCTGCGCACGCAGGAGAGAGGGGACCTGTTCTGCATGGCAGTTTGTCTGTTAAGGAGCCTCCTTCAAAGCAGCAGCCCTGATGGGATGAAGCACTGGTAGTTAACAACTGCATAGAGATCTGTAAGTAATGGGTGAAGGCAATATAGCTGCTATAGGCGGGCACACAGGCAGTGCCCTATATTATCTCAGCATGCTGCTAAAGATCACACTAGAGAAGGTGTCATCCCCTACGAGGAACTTTTTCCAATACACAAGTGAAGTCAACCTTCCAACACCTCCTTAGTAACACTTGAGCAAGTGACCCCATTTGAGGGGAAAAAAAACAGTGAAAACAGTGCATAAAATGGATTTGTCACTAATACACTAGGGACAACAATGAGATTTTTAAGACGAAATACAAGTTAGCAACAGTGTCACAAGTCACAAATTTCTTCAAGTGTGTGGGGTTTTTTTTTCCCCTTCACAGCGTGTAGCATTAAGCTTAGAAGATGATGGGTTGCCATGAGGATGACGTTGCTGCTCCAGACACCACCGTGAACAAACCTGCTTTGGATCACAGAACCTGCTCCTTTTTGATCGTTATTTATGTTGCAGAAGGGTAACCACAAAGTTATAATGAACTGCAAACATCCAAAGGATGTGAGAGTTTTGTATGTATAATCTTTTATACACATTTTAACTTGTTGCACTACCCGTTTGTGATAGTGAATAAGCGACAGCTGAGCTACTAACTCAATGTACATAACCAGCCAGGCTGAAAGTTCAGTAGCTATTGCTTTATTTTAAGACTATATTTATAGATATTTTGTAAATATGTTGACTATGCTTTGTGGCTATCCATCAACATAAGTAAAACAAATTCTGTACAGGCTGTTTAGAAATATTTATTAACAAAATCTGGATTATAAGATCTGTTCTGTAAATATAGTAGAGGGGTGAGAGTATTTATTTTTTGTATGTTTGGCTTGCTGTGCATAGATCTGAGTATATATCTATCTAGACTAGATAGATATATAGGCATATAAATATATACATATATAAAAATATACATATATTTTAAAACTACTAGCCTATGTTTATGAAAATTAGCGATAATTGAATTTTTACAGGACGTTTGAGAAGTTTGCTTTAAAACCTAAGGACACTAAGGAAGAGCGCCGCACAGTAAGATAGCGGACAAGTGAAGCAGTCCCACAGCAAACAGAGCTCCTGTTTTCCAAACTGGCTCGCAAGGGTTGCTTCTACATTTTCCCATCTATCCAGAAAGCTTCCTCTGCAGTGCTTTTAACTGAGGAGCTATTGCTTACAGCATTTCAGTCAGGAGAAACTCCTACGGCACCCAGTTTCTTTGTGTTGTATTGTTGCTTTTACCAGCTTGGTACAAAGTTGATTCAGGTTTTTTGTTTGTTTCTAAATGTAAATCTAAATGCTTTTCCCCACCACCAATCTCGCACGTCTCAAATTAGCTTAGAATTAGTAGAAACAAAGATTTAGCCATATACTTCCATACACCCAAAGTGAGCACTCTTACCTGGCTCATGAGGGAAAAAACACCACCACAGTAAGAAAAGTTAATTCCTTCCCTCCTTGCCGTTTTCCCCTACTCCTACTGATAAAAGAGTCCAAATTTAGGAGATGCTGTGGGGCAGTGTCTTAATTCAGTGTATGTAGAATTCAGTGAGGTGCAGCAATTATCTTCCAACTTACTGCCAGAGGAACCACCTGCACCATGGTAGGTCTCCCATAGAGCACGAGGCAAGGAAGTTAAAGGCAGTTAAAGATTCATAGCCATATCAGTATGTTTGGCTGGGTCATCCTGCACCTTGCAGAAAAAACACTGTTTTTTCTCATCTCATTCTATAAGATTCCCAGGGAATTCACTTACCTTAATGGACTAGTACCTCCCTGTACCTTTCTGTACCAAAGCCTAGAGAAATCATCCTAGTCTAGTAGAAGACAGTCAGCCTGGAAAGGTTTGGGGTTTTTTCCTTTTGTTTTTCTTTCTTTTAGAATAAATCCACAGTGTAATGTGCACTGGAAGTTGATTCTTGACTTAGAAAAGGAAGAAGGCATCTAAAGACCTAGTATGCATTACAGACATAATGCATACTCTCAAAATACTTAATGGCTTGTGTAATAATCAAGCATCCTTCTATTCAAATTTTAGATTTTAAGGCAGTGAAAAATTGATTGAGATTTCCAATGACTGTTTTAAGGTATGAAGCTCTGTTTCTACAAATCCATGCACTGTGTGCATGAAAAACACTGAGAAAAGGCTGTATGTGATAACACTGTAACTAACAGATGAATGTAAATATATTTGAAAGTTCTACAGTTTTGATACTTTTTTAAAAACACACACACAAACAAACCTGTATAAACCATGTATAAAAGGCTGCAGTTTTTTCAAACCATTGTAAATGAACTCAATGTGCAGTGCTGATTTCAACCTTCCCAGATTTGTAACTACTGAGAAGTCAAACACCAAATTTGTTTTTTTAAGAAATTAATTATTTTACGTAACAATTCAGATTGTTAGGATGATATTTAACATTGTAATCATTTCTGATCTCTGTCTTGTCATATTGAAGTTCTGTTAGAGTAAGTCCTTGCTTGGTGCCTTTTGTGTTTCAGTTGTTGTGTCCCGGACAAAAGGACCAAGGAGGGGCGGGGGAGGGACCTGCTCTGTGTAACACTCGCTGTACTTAATCAATAAGGATTACTGAAAACCAAATGAACGCGTTTGTAAAACAGTGCACTGTTTCTATAGAAAGATTAAATTTTTTTATCTGGGATTACTGAATTAATTACTTTGTACTGCCAGAAGTGCTGTCCCAGACCTGGGACTGTATCATATTTTGGTCTGAGTTTTCCTTAACTCTTAATTGTCCAAACCCAAAGTGGGACTTGGGAACACTGTTGTATAATTCAGCTGTTTGTTTAGCTGCAGCTCTGCCATAGCACCACTGAAAACCGTTCATATTCTACATGTAAATGAACAGACCATTTTGTTCTGAATTGCCTTTCCCTGACACTTTGGTTTTAGTCATCTTCAAATCACATGGAAGATGGTACTGGGTTCATTATTTCCTTGAGATGAACAGTTACCTCAGTCATGTAACTAGAGTGAGTAAAGCATCCAGTGGTCCACACACACTAGTTCTTACCTGCTGTCCAGAAGGTGTTGTCTCGAAAGTGAATGGGTGCACACAACAAAGTTGGTGTAGTTCTTAACCCAAACTATTACATGTTAGACTATTCAACCACTAGTTGCAGACTACCCAATTTCTTCATACAGCCTTTGGTAACACGTATCTACAGAAGCTGAAAAATTTGTTACAGTTACAGGCAAATATGCACCCTCTTGCCATCCTGAAAAAAGGACAAATACTGCTGTTCTTGAACTCACAACAGGCAGTCTTAATTTTTTTTTTTAAGTACAATCAATTTCATCTACGGAAATAAAGCCAAAATGAGATCCATTGCACAAGTAGTACAATGATAGCTTTAGTTGGAGACACAAGTCTCCAGTGCTTTCAATGCTTGAAAAACTTCTCTCCTCCTTGCTATTGCTGTATGGCCCCTTTGATCTGTGTGTGGGAAATCTACTGCATAACTTCACTTAAAATTCAAGTTATGAGCCAGGGGGATAACGTAGTCGTAAATACCAATATCCATTGATAGTACCTCTTCAAAACCGAGACAACCAGATGAATGACCATTCTCTTCCCCACCCCAGGTCATTTGCAGGGTAGCCTCAAAGAGCCATTAGACATCAGAGCACAGAAGACAATACAACCTTTCACTATCACATGTCCTTACAAAGCAGGATATTTCTTGAAAGTAACTTTCGGTCAATTTTTGTCCCTAAAGGAACACTGCCAAGCAGCTAACACTTTTCAGACACAAATAGTTATTACCAAATTAATATGGACTACTGGTAAATATTGGTGGCTTAGTTTTCTATTTAACTGAAAATGGGGTTTTTAGTTTTTAAAGTATTTCTCCATTTCAGTTACATATTTTAGCAGAATAATATGGTAGCAAATTTTCTCCTTTGAGAAAAATCAACACAATGCTATCAGAGTATTTATGTGATCAGATCCAATGAGTATCAAATAAGATGTCAGATCATATTCATACCATACTAGCTACTGTCTTTTCTCAAAAGACCCAGCAGTGTGGTTTCCCTCAGTCTGTTGAAGAAGATTCTAGGTATCTCTTGCTCTTTTGGGCTACAGAGCAGCTCTGATCCCAGTAAGCTATCCTTTCTGAATCAAGCAGAAACTTTGCTGGTTGACAGTGATCTTAGGCAATATCAGTTTTGTCTACTTACATGCACCTCTGCAGCAGCAGGCCTCAAGTATCTCCTCTTCTCTACCAACATTTTTAAAAAGAAAGGAAATAAAAACTGTCTAAATGATAACCCAAGTGTAAACAATGTTTGCTTTCAGAGAGGAGGAGAGGAATTGATAAAGAAAGAGCACGAAATGTGAGTTATCTGAGACCAATGGCAATAAGAAAGAAGTAAAGGGCAGCTGGGCTGGAACTCTGTGAAGGAAATGACTCTGGCTGACACTTATCCAGAAGATCTGATAATCCTCTAACAAGGAATTTTAACTTCCAAGTGCATATACACAGGTGCTGCTGATAGAAGAAATGCAAGCAACTATAAGAAAAAAATACACAGGATAACTTTTTATATGTGAATTCATGTTAGCCTTTGGCACCTGATCATTAGTACTAGTACTTAGTATACAGCAAAAATATTTCACAGTTTGAAAACTGTGCTCACATACAATTATTGTGCTGGCATTCACTATATTCAACAAGACTATGCAAAGAAGTGCACAGTAATTTCTGATAAAAAGAAAGGCAGCTCCTCAAGCCACTATGTTACGCTACTATGACAATATAGGAAGAACAAAGATGATTGCTTTCTTTTCTACCACTACCCTAAAATTAAGCCTTTCCCCACTGACGCTCATTTGGCTAACACCTCTGATTTGATGAGCATTTTGAAGTAAGCCTTTTTTAGTTCCTCTTTAATCATCTCAAAGACTGCTGGAGTAAAACTGTAGTCAGACAAATGGTCAATGATGAGCTGGCCGTAAAGAAAATGCTATTTCCTTTGTAGAAGAGTCACATTATAAATTTCACATCAGACCTCAATATTTTTAAACATTTTCACTTGATTTTCTTTCTTACTCCATGCAAAAAACATTGCCTTAGTCAAAGACCAATTTCTTTGTACTTAGCCTTCTTTGCTCCACACTCACTGTTTTTATAATCCATGTCATAAACTCTCTACCCTAAACCATAAGTCTTCACCTCACTAACCTTACATTTTTTGAGGTGCTCAGCAAAAATGCACATGGTTCTTTATTATATGGAAAACCATTATCCCTCTGTAGCCTTTAAAACCATGTAAAACTATGAATTAATGAGTTGCAACGTAAACCTGAGCGTTTCAGGCTTCTGACTAATGCAGAAAATAATGTTCAACGTATGATTTGTTGAGCTCTATTGAGGACAATGTGCTGTTAGTACTTACGGGTATCTTACGATTTAATATGTTCACCCTAGTGATCAAACCATGCTCTCCACTCACCAGTCTGTACTCCATTTTAGCAGTATCAGCTCCATATACTGATTCTGACAGATCCAGAGCCAGGATGCTTACAAAAGCGTCTAGAAGCACCACACTACATGAATGAAAAAGGACGTTAGAGTGGGAATCAACACAGAAAAGAAACAATCACTCAAGTCAATAATTCTAAGAACAAGCAGTTGTTCAGGCTAAGACCTTGAAACACCTGGTTAGGTATTACTTTTTACATTCAGAGGATATGCAAGGATGTCTTGCAGTTTTTCTGGCAAGACTTAGAAATTTTGTATGCCAGAGGAAACTGCAAAAAAACAGTACGATTACCTGCAGCACTCTCAAGAGTATATAAGGATAACACCTCCCTTAAGTAAAGAATTAATTTTCAAGGACTACATTAACTCTCAGTGAAATGTGTTTGATATATATTAACA